GAAAATTTTTCTTTTCACCCAAATCGTCACTTAGCATGGTTTTGCACTCACCCCTTCAATTAAAAAAGTAATAATTTTGATTTGAGTTTTGTAACTTTGTACCATGAGGTTTTCTGTTTATATTGTTTGGCCTTCTGTTTTGAGTTTGAATAATCTCAAGATACACAAAACAAAAACAGTGAAAAACATTTGCTTACAAGCAAAATTTATACTACGGTTAACTTTTAATCCTGACGTAGCATTAACCAACTTCCGAACAACCCTGCTGTGATTACAAATTAACTTGACATAAGCCCACGATCCAATCAAAAACTAGCACTTGGTCAGTGGTGAAATTAAAAAAAAACACAAGATCTCAATGAGTTCTAAACTTGAGCCCACGAAATGGTCATGTGATACTGGTCAGTGGATACCTTGTTTTGACAGGTGTCAATTGATCATAACATGAATATCCAGTATCAAAGAAGTTCACTGTAAACAAATTAAGGCTGCATGTCTCTATCAACCTACTAGCTGGAGTAAGGCCGCCATCTTGCGTGACTTTGTCGGTGTCATGCGTACGCACCCATGTGCAATACCACTAGCCATGAGAATCATGAGAAAATCAATTCATGGGTTTCCTTTTCTTTCCTATATGGATATGGGGCTCTGCTTGGCAGCGCTTCGGGCCATCAGAACCCTGCTATAAAATTTGTTTACGATCTTGTTTACTTTTCAGCCAACATTGGACCATCGCTTTGAGTCATACTTCAACTACTGCGATCTTTTCAATTACATTCTAAGTAAGTATGGAGCCTGTGTAAAACGAGAATAGACCTTTTGCATCAGTTGGTCTCATGACTAATTATAATTATTTATTAACTTTAGCTACAGCTATATGAATTTCAGAAATGGCAAGAACAGGATTTAAACAGTCAGAACACCAATGATCAGGCCAATCCCATTAAAGGCTGAGGTTCAATGATGAATTGATAACTAAAATATTGAGAAGGTTTCATATGGAAGTAATGAAGCTTACACCACTTTCAAATTGGTTTAAAGCCAAAATGAAGTGCTTTTTGTCTGGCTGCAGTGATAGTGTTGACAATTTGACTGTAAACTTTGTTTCACATTCAGAACAGAACAAATAAAAATTATTGTTGTTATTTTACCATTCACCAATTTAATTGTCATTTCTTTCCCTTTCTGAGAAACAATTATTTAGCCATACATGTATGATAGTACTGGAAGCATCTTTTTTGTGAGGCAAATTTGATGTGTTTGTCAGCATTACAATCCTTCACCAATCAGAACCACAGTCATCCCCCACCACACCCCTCTGACACACAGAGAGAACAAGCCAAGCCAGTGAATCTGTTTGGGCATCTTTAATGATGGAACGAGAAGCCCATGAGGGTTTACGAAAGCTCCCAGGGCAGGTGGGAGGGAGGGAAAAGAAACAACTGGAACAATCAAACAAACAAAACAAGGTGGTCATAAGTTACAACCAAAATCAATGTCAGTCAACAGCTCGCTAGGCGCAGCATGGAGGCCATGAAGTTATTCCCTAGGAATTTGAGCTATTTGTGGGCAAATGCTTTTTCAAAATAATGGGGTTTGCTAGCAAGCATTCACTCACTTGCCCCAATTTTGGTGCAGCCAGAATGCAGGAAACTTTAATCAGTATGGAAATGCTTGCTACGCTGGCTTCTTTAGAGACCATTCACTCACACAGTCACATAACATTTTAATTTGAAGTCTTTACCACTACCAGGTGCAATCAACTTAAGCATTAAAGAAAAAAGCTTTCTTTCTTTAAATTTTATAGTTTGAATTTTTCCAGATACCGATGAACCTGTTCCTCTCAGTCTGCCCAATCAGTGGCTGTGGGACATTATTGACGAGTTTATTTACCAGGTGGATGCATGTGTTTAATATTTTCATCTTTTTCTCATAGAGTGATCAGTATGGAATTTTTCTCACTTACTTCCTTATGGTGCTCAGTGATCTAATAAGGATGCCTTTTCAATTTTTTAGTTCCAATCATTTAGCCAGTACCGATCAAAGTTGTTGAAAAAGGGAGAAGATGAAGTAGGAACACTGAGAGCAAACACAAAGGTATGACCCAACAATGAACAAAATTATGGTGTTCTGCAGTTTCTAGTGGAACTTTGTAACTTGTACAGGTGACTCCTCTTGGGCGACTAGCCTAAGAATACTGCAGATAACTCTTTTGTTTTTGCAATAAAAAACACGCACACTAAACGACACTATGAACAGCCTCTTCCAAACCAATGTACTTTAAGCTCATACATTTGTACATCAATAGCCTGTTTCCGAGTTGGCCTAAGCCTCTCTATCAAACTGAGGCGTGGTGGACTACCATTCATATGAAAATGAGTTTAATTTGCATGTGAATGAAATTTTATTTCTTATAAAAGGTTGAGCACCAAGACCCGCTTTGAGAAAGAGGCTTTAGGTAATTCAGAAATGGCCTATCACTCTATCAAATCTACAAATGTACACCACTCACCTACTTTTTGAACCCATTTTACACTCTCTTTGAACACTTTAGGAGCCATTACAGGTGGTTAGGGTTTTCTTTTATAGGGAACTAGAATAATTATGGACAATTGCACCGTGAGGGGAAAAACTTTAGTTGTTATATAGTTTTGCATCAAAAAAATTATATTTTTGGGAAGGAGTAACAATTTCAATTCCAGTGGGATTTATTAATGAATTCCCCTAATCATAACATGGCTTTTTCCTTTTTTCAGATCTGGAATGTTCACAGTGTTCTTAATGTACTCTATTCTTTAGTGGAAAAGTCCAAGATTAACCATCAGGTGTGTCTGTATGCTACTACAACTCCAACAGCAACAACAACAACAAAAACAAAAGCAACAACAGTGTTAAACAATCAGTCAAGGGGCACAACAATGCCTTTGCAGATGCAGATTGCAAGCACCTGTCTTTCAGAAACATCAGTTAAATCAAAGATAAATACAGTAACTGAAAGTTACAAATACATGAGGAATGAACACAGGAACAAACATGAAAAAGACAGATGACAAGTAACGTATTATACCCTTCACTATAAGCTGTATTTTTGGCACCTGCAAATGGACTGTGTTTATTTGTGTTACTAAGGAGATTATCAATAACTGGCAAATTGGTGCAATAGTGCACTCCGAAAATACATATATCTTTCTTTTTTTTGAAAAAGCAAAATCTGAGATAAACAAATTATGAAATCTACATGACAAAATTAATGCGGTGAACTGAAAATTGATAAACAACAAACATGGCTGACAAGAATTACTACAAGCCTGCCAAATTTATACAATTTGCAAAATAAATTTAATATAATAATTTAATAAATTTAATATAATTATTATACAGCAAAAGGCTGCTAATTAACAAGATAAATATGGAGAACTCGTACAAATAATACCTTTCACTATAAGCTGTATATTTGGCACCTGCAAATTTGTGTTACTAAGGAGATTATAAATAATTGGCATATTGGTGCAATAGTGCACTCAGAAAATATCTTTTTTTTTTTTGAAAAAGCAAATCTGTCTGTTCAGTTTGAAAAAGAATGATCAGCAGCGAGTAGTACAGCTGTAAGTGCATGGAATATACAGTGTATGGTGCTCAGATCAGGAGAAGAAGTCTGTGTTTGACCTTAGTGTCTCTTTTTTTAGCTGGAGGTGTATAACCAAGGTGGTGACCCTGATTCTGTGGCTGGTGAGTTTGGAATCCATCCCCTCTACAAGATGCTGGGTTACTTCAGTTTGATTGGTCTGCTGAGGCTTCACTCTCTGCTTGGTGATTATTTCCAGGCAATCAAAGTGCTGGAGAATGTTGAACTAAACAAGAAGGTAATTAAAGTAGTGAAATGAAGTAATGTACTGATAATAAGCCCCCTAACAATAAATACTTTAAAAAATATACCCAAGATGCAAAAATATACATATATTATAATACTAATACTAATACTAATAATAATAATAATAATAATAATAATAATAATAATAATAATAATAATAATAATATTTAAAAATATCACAGTAACTTCACTTGAACCACTAACACTTGGCTTTTTTGGTACATTTTTTTGACCACTATAGAATGAAGGCTCTCATATAATGAAGAAGTTTAGCATTATTAAAATATAAGAAATAATTTCCAGTACTCAGAGCGCAATCAAGAAATCTTATTAAAAGTGGAATATCTCGTTCGGTTCTGGCGAACTTCATCAGCCACAATGAAAAATTTAATGTGAATGTTAAGAAGGGTTATATGATGTTTATTATGGTCTCGAGAGTGCTAGCATTGTTACAGATTAGTTTAGCTTAATACTCTTGTTAATATGAAGAGCCCTCATTCTATGGTCACTCAGAAATTGACCACAAAATGCCGCATATTCATGGTTTGAGTGTCCTCACAAAAACATTCTTTTTGATAACAATAATTGTAATAATTATATCTTTAAAAAAAGCCTCCTATTGTAGAATTAATGACTCTGAACATGTTTGGTACATCACATCCTTATATTCAGAGAATTTATACACATACTATATGCAACACTGTCTGTGGTACACCTTGGAATATTTCACGAGTCACTTCTATTTTCTCTGTATACACACGAACCTTTAGGCAAGTGTGTATATTAAGACTACAAGTGACAAGAGGAATGTTCTATGGTATGCCACAAGGAAAGTGTTTTATACCGTGCCATAGAAAATACAGTGGCCAACGCAGGCAATGTAGCACACAATGGGAAGGTTGGGTCTAATACTATAAAGTTTACAGTGGTTGTCCTGTATTCTGATTGGCTGTATGTTCTATGGTATGGTATAAAACACAACATGTGTGTCTGCAGCTGTATTTTGTCATATTCAACACCACGTCCAAAATAACATAAACCTGAATAATTTGAATGTCAAAGTCCTTCCAATATGTCCAATATTTCTCAACTTTCCTCCTCCACAAATGGCAAGCCTGTGCGAAAATAAGACTGTCAAAATGGGCTTTTTAAGAAATAAAACCTAGGGCTTATTATTGGAATATATAAATTTGAGGTTTGTCGGTGTGTTATCTACTTTCAGAGTCTTTACTCCCGAGTTCCTGCCTGCCAAATCACCACTTATTACTATGTTGGATTTGCATACCTTATGATGAAGAGGTACCAGGTAAAGGAACCATTTCACCATCGTGCTGTGGCTGTCAAAGTAGAGTTTAAACCTTGCCCCAACAAATTGTTTTTTCAGGTTTTATTTTCACAGCTGTTCAAGTTGTGTTCATAACTGTGACGATCATTCTTGTCTTAACACCTTTCTCCTCAGTTCAAATATATGATCTTTCATACGTTCAGTTGCACTCTTCACCATTTACGGGTATATTACGAACTCACAATGTGATCAGCCCCCACTTGTTTTGATAACTCAGTTGGTAGAACACTGCTCCAGTATTTGAACGGGTTATGGGGTTGAATCCCGTTCGAGCTTGATTTTTTTTTTTCCAAACTTTGTTTTCACAGCTTTTTTAAGTTGTGTACTTAACTGCAATGATCATTCATGTCTTTACATCTTTCTCGGCAGTTCAAATATTTATATGTGATCTTTCGTATATTCACTTGCTAAGTCTATCATGTTGTACAGTGTAAAAATTTATTTGTTTCTTACCACCGCTTCTTTTAAAAGTCTGTGCACAGAACTTCTATTTTTCATTGAGTTTGTCAAGATTGCCAGCAAAATATTATCAGTGGGGGATATGAACAAGCCAAAACGCAATGGTGTGCATTTTCAACATGCTTATTCTGAGATATAATTATTATTGTTTCATTTTTCCATTCCAGGATGCAATTCGCAGTTTCTCCAATATTTTGCTGTACATTCAGAGGACCAAAAATATGTTCCAGACCAAATCTTATCAGTATGAACAGGTGAGAGGTGCTGCAACATGTCTAGTTTACTCCCATGGAATGTGTTTCTTTTCTGGTGGGGGGAGGGGTGTTTGGAATAATTTGGATGAAAGTATTAAACACCTCCCCCCTAAAACTTTCAAAAGCAGACTTAAAAGCTTAACATCTTACAGTCATATTGCCAACATTCATGGCACTTGCTAGTGACGTTTCTAGGTACTGAGTTAGTGATTTACTGATTTATTCTGCTTATTTATTTATTTATTTATTTATTTATTTATTT